TCACAGGTTGATATTCTTATATGAGAAGATATCCAGTATAATGACACTTGTATACCCTGCTCTGAGAGGCTAGCAATTTGGTAAAGGGTATTGATAGCTACCATGTTTTTCTGGATTAATGTTAAGAGGGAGAGGGAGAGGGGAGAGGAGAGGGAGAGGGAGAAGAGAGGAGAGAGAGAGGGAGAGAGAGAGAGAGAGAGAGAGAGGGAGAGAGAGAGGAGAGAGAGAGAGAGAGAGAGAAGAGAAGAGAGAGAGAGAGAGAGAGAGAGAGAGGAGAGAGAGAGAGAGAGAGAGAGAGAGAGAGAGAGAGAGAGTTGAGGGAGAGGGAGAGGGAGAGAGAGAGGAGAGGGGGAGAGGGAGAGGGAGAGGGAGAGGGAGAGGAGAGGAGAGGGAGATGAGAGAGGAGAGAGAGAGAGAGAGGAGAGAGAGAGAGAGAGAGAGAGAGAGAGAGAGAGAGAGAGAGAGAGAGTTGGTTAGAGAGAGAGCACGGACCAATCTTTCAGCGCAATCGGACGAGCGTGCTTGGACCCTCCGAATCGAACCGACCGACGAACCCGACCAATGAACCCGACCAACCGACGAACCCCGACCGAACCGACCAACCGACGAACCCGCCCGACCAATGAACCGACCGCATGCGAATGAGCAATTGAGTCCCGATTGCAGGAGATGCGGGCTTTGGGTGCAAACCGATTATCCGACTCACAAAAAAAAGAAAAAGAAAAAGAAAAAAAAAAAGTTTAATTTTCTGTCCCTGTTGGGTCTCTTAACGCGGTGTGTTTATTTGTTTTGAAGTTCATTGTTATTGTTATTGCTCTTTTTGGTGGTTTTTCTTTTGTATCCTTTTTTTCTTGTGCTTTTTCTTTTCTTTCTCTTGTTTTTTATTTATTTTATTTCATTGTTATTACTCATTATTATTATTGTTATTATTATTATCATTATTATTTATTTATTTTTATTTTTTGTGTTTATGTGTGTGTGTGTGTGTGTTGTGTGTGTGTGTGTGTGTGTGTGTGTGTGTGTGTGTGTGTGTGTGTGTGTGTGTGTGTGTGTGTGTGTGTGTGTGTGTGTGTGTGTGTGTGTGTGTTCATTTCCGGCTCATTTATTTATTTATATACTTTGCTTGAATTTTGGTTCTCTGTTTGTTATGTTATGATGGATTGATTCTTCGTGGGATGTTTTTCGGGATGATTATAATTGTTGTTGTTGTTTTTATTGTTGTTCATATTATTATGTGAAATTGTTATTATTTGTTATTTATTATTTATGTTTCTTAGGAAGTTGTTGAGAGTTTGGATTGTTTTTTTTTTTTCTTTATCTTTTATTCCTTATTTTTCATTTCATGTTATTTGTTTCTTCTTTGTTCATTTGTTTTGGATTTCGGAACCACATCCGTTGTTTATTTGTTTGTTTCTTTGTTTATTTATTGGGTTTCAATCGAAGGGCTTATATATCTGTTTTCATATGTGGTTATTGTTTTTTTTTCTTTTTCTTTTTTTAATCTTGTCTACTTCTCAATAGAACTTTTGCGCGGCTCAAGTTATTTTCATTTGTTTCGTCATTTAGTTCTCTGTGGTTAGTATTTCCCTTTTTTATGGTTGGTGGTTGTTATTCGTTTATTTGTTTATTATTATTTGTTCTACGTTTTAATTTTATTTATTTATTGGGGGGCTGAGTTTTCTTGGAGCATTATGCTTTGTATATATATATATATATATATATATATATATATATATATATATATATATATATATATATATATATATATAATAGCTGACTATACATGACAGACTATTCGTGGAACATTTTGTTGACTCCATTTTGTTATTTGATATTACTTGTTTTGCTTCTGGTTTAGATCATTTTAGAAAACACTGCTGCATAAACAACAGCAGTGGCCTTCATCATCAGTCAGAGAGTGTTCAAACTGACCACATGATCACCGGTTTGGTCTGTTCACCTTGTAGAACAGTAGAACAGAGAAGAACAAAAGGGAGAGCGTAGGAGGTCGGTTTATGTGTAATGGTTAAAGTGAGAGTAATGATAATTCTTTTACTTTTTTTTTTTTTTTTTTTTGTATTAGCTGTCATTTCGCTAGATACTAGGCACTAGATTTCGCCAGAATAATGACAAATTGTATTTACATTGAGATACTCGAGCTGCTTTTAGTTTAGAGGGAGGGAGAGGGGAGAGAGAGAGAGAGGGAGAGGGAGAGATAGAGAGAGGAGAGAGAGAGAGAGGGGGGGAGAGGGAGAGGGAGAGGGAGAGGAGGAGATAGGGAGAGGAAGAGGGAGAGGGAGAGAGAAAGGGAGGGGGAGAGAGACAAAGAGAGAGAGAGAGTGTTAAGGCGAGTCGAAGTTGCAAAGAGTTGAGAGCGGTTTGCAACAAGCAGGCAAGCGGTGGGGGGAGGGGGGGAGGGCATGCAGGTGGGGGTGGAATGTCGTAATGTGTAAACCGGGACAAGAGGCTTATCGGTAGCATGGTTTGTGGCTGGAGGGCGTGGGCGTGGGTGGTTATCTTAGGTGTTTATATGGGGTTTATGATGGTGGGTGTGTGAGGCGCGCGTATGTATAGTCTGTGGGTATGGACGACCGTGCCCGTTCATGCCTATCCATAACTTCGCGTACGCCTATATCCAAGCGCACGCTCATACCCCTCACGCATATCCATTTCTCAAAGGCACACCCATACCCATACACACGCACACGAATAGCCACCCATACATACACACATACCCGTACTCACACGCATGCCCATACACCCTCATACGTCTATACCCCCTCACACGCCCGTATCCCCCCACGCACCCATACCCCCACACACGCCCATACCCCACACACGCCCATACTCACACGCACGCCCACGCAGGCACACCCATTATTACCCATACCATAGCCATACGCTATTTGTATTCGCACACACACACACACGCACGGGCGCACACACACACACACACACACACACACACACACACACACACACACACACACACACACACACACACACACACCACACACACACACACACACACACACACACACACACACACACACACACACACACACACACACACAACCTACAGGGAAATGAATACCAGCGCCAACTCGTCCCCGGCAGCAACGCATTGTAACTTGTCCATACTTTCTGCTTCGGTTCCGTTTGTGACTGTTGTGATACCGGAAACCTGTTTGGTAACAACTGTGCTGGACGTCTGCTCCTGGGTGACACGTGGATTACTCTGCTGGGTGACACGTCTGGTCTGCTCCTGGTGACACGTGGGCTGCTGGGTGACACGTCTCTGCCGTCTGGGACACGTGGTATTACTCTGCTGGGACTCTGCTCCTGGGTGACACGTCTCTGCTGGGACGTCTGCTCCTGGCACGTGGTATTACTCTGCTGGGACGTCTGCTCCTGGGTGACACGTGGTATTACTCTGCTGGACGTCTGCTCCTGGGTGACACGCTGGTGACACGTGGTATTACTCACTGGGTGTCTGCTTCTGGACACGTGTATTACTCTGCTGGACGTCTGCTCCTGGGTGACACGTGGTATTACTACACACGTGGTATTACTCAACTGGGGTGTCTGCTTCTGGGTGACACGTGGTATTACTCTGCTGGGACGTCTGCTTCTGGGTGACACGTGGTATTACTCTGCTGGGACGTCTGCTCCTGGGTGACACGTGGTATTACTCTGCTGGGGTGTCTGCTTCTGGGTGACACGTGGTATTACTCTGCTGGGACGTCTGCTCCTGGGTGACACGTGGTATTACTCTGCTGGGACGTCTGCTCCTGGGTGACACGTGGTATTACTCTGGGGTGTCTGCTCTGGGTGTGTATTACTCTGCTGGGACGTCTGCTCCTGGGTGACACGTGGTATTACTCTGCTGGGACGTCTGCTCCTGGGTGACACGTGGTATTATCTGCTGGGACGTCTGCTCCTGGGTGACACGTGGTATTACTCTGCTGGACGTTGCCTCTGGGTGACACGTGGTATTACTCGACTGGGGTCTGGGTGACACGTGGGTATTACTCTGCTGGACGTCTGCTCCTGGGGACACGTGGTATTACTCTGCTGGGACGTCTGCTCCTGGGTGACACGTGGTATTACTCTGCTGGGACGTCTGCTCCTGGGTGACACGTGGTATTACTCTGCTGGGACTGCTCTGGGTGACACGTCTCTGCTGGGGTGTCTGCTCCTGGGTGACACGTGGTATTACTCTGCTGGGATGTCTGCTCCTGGGTGACACGTGGTATTACTCGACTGGGATGTCTACTCCAGGGTGACACGTGGTATTACTCTGCTGGGACGTCTGCTTCTGGGTGACACGTGGTATTACTCTGCTGGGGTGTCTGCTTCTGGGTGACGGTATTACTCTGCTGGGACGTCTGCTTCTGGGTGACACGTGGTATTACTCTGCTGGGGTGTCTGCTCCTGGGTGACACGTGGTATTACTCTGCTGGGACGTCTGCTCCTGGGTGACACGTGGTATTACTCTGCTGGGACGTCTGCTCCTGGGTGACACGTGGTATTACTCGACTGGGACTCCAGGGTGACACGTGGTATTACTCTGCTGGGGACGTCTGCTCCTGGGTGACACGTGGTATTACTCTGCTGGGACGTCTGCTCCTGGGTGACACGTGGATTACTCTCTGCTGCTGGTGGGTGACACGTGGTATTACTCTGCTGGGACGTCTGGGTGACTCTCTGCTGGTCTGCTCCTGGTGACACGTGGTATTACTCGACTGGGATGTCTGGGTGACACGTGGTATTACTCTGCTGGGACGTCTGCTCCTGGGTGACACGTGGTATTACTCTGCTGGGACGTCTGCTCCTGGGTGACACGTGGTATTACTCTGCTGGGACGTGACACGTGTATTACTCTGTGGTCTGCTCCTGGTGACACGTGGTATTACTCTGCTGGGATGTCTGCTCCTGGGTGACACGCTTGCACGAATAGTTTGCAAGCAGTACTCGTTCTGTGGCACACGTTAGAGGGAGAGAGAGAGAGAGAGAGGAGGGGGGGAGAGGGAGGGGGAGGGAGAGGGAGAGCGGGAGTGGGAGGGAGGGAGTCGGAGGGAGAGTAGGGAGAGAAGGAGAGGAGGAGATGGAGATAAGAAAGAGGGAGGGAGAGAAGGAGAGAGGAAGATGGAGATGGAGGGAGGGAGATAAGAGAGGGGGAAGGGAGAGAGAGCGAGAGAGATAATTGGAAGAGGGAGACAAAGAGAGTAAAGCGAGTCCCGGAGACAAGATAGAGAGATAGGGAGAATGTTGTGAAATTTGGAGGTAGAAAGGGTGATAAAAAGAGGGTGCACTGAGAGAATAAGAGAGAGAGAGAGAGAGCGAGAGAGAGAGAGAGAGAGAGAGAGAGAGAGAGAGAGAGAGAGAGAGAGAGAGAGAGAGAGAGAGAGAGAGAGAGAGAGAGAGAGAGAGAGAGAGAGAGAGAGAGAAGAGAGACAGACAGGCAGAGAAAAGGGTGAGGGAGAGGAGATAAAGAAAGAAAGAAAGATGACGTAGAAGAAGAAAATCGTTCCGAATTTTATTTGATCGAGTGTAGGATGAAACCTAATATTCTGACGAGGTTCGGAGAGAGAGAGAGAGAGAGAGAGAGAGAGAGAGAGAGAGAGAGAGAGAGAGAAGAGAGAGAGAGAGAGAGAGAGAGAGAGAGAGAGAGAGAGAGAGAGGAAGGATTTTTAGAGAGAGAGAGAGAGAGAGAGAGAGAGAGAAAAAAGGATTTTTAACCAATGCAGATTGCAAAGGAAAGGGAGAGAGAGAGAGAGAGAGAGAGAGAGAGAGAGAGAGAGAGAGAGAGAGAGAGAGAGAGAGAGAGAGAGAGAGAGAGAGCGAGAGAGAGAGAGCGAGAGAGCGAGAGAGAGAGAGAGAGAGAGAGAGAGAGAGAGAGAGAGAGAGAGAGAGAGAGAGAGAGAGAGAGAGAGAGAGAGAGAGAGAGAGAGAGAGAGAGAGAGAGAGAAAGCAAGAGCAAGACGTCACCTTGAAATGTTATGAAGAAAATTGACAGTCGGGGAAATTCGTCCTTTGTTGGAGTGACACCCTCTTGTCCCGAAGTCTGTCCTGGTAACAGCAACTCCTTCACGTGGCGGCTGATGAGGTGACACGGGGTTAGTGTGTCATCGGATTCGTCATTGACACAAATGACATGACGGCGGTGAGACAAGCATAATTTTGCAAAAAAAAAAAAAGAAAAAAAAGATAATAATAATAAATGATATTAAAGAAATAAAAAAAGGAAAAAAAGTGGCATGGCAATACTGCTGATATAGCCGGGTCATTTTTATGTTTTTGTGTTTGTTTGTTTTCATCTGTTTGTATTTTTGCTTGTGTTTGCTTTCATGCATTTGTACATTTGTTTGTTTGTGTTTCACATTTATTTGTTTGTTTTCGTTTGTTTTGATTATCTGTCTTGCTTGTTTGTTTAAATTATTTCTTTTGTTTGTTTGTTTTGATTATCTGTCTTGCTTGTTGTTAAATTATTTCTTTGTTTGTTTGTTTTGATTATTTGTGCTTTTGTTTGTTTGTTTTCATTATTTGTAGTTTTTTTTTCTTTTGTTTTCCTTTATTTGTACTTCTGTCTTTGATTTTCACAAGTTTGCTTTCGTGTGTATCTCTTCTTCACGTTAGCCTCATAGCGCCAGCGGGTCGAGGCGCTTCGGACCTGGAGGCGAATCCATCGTCACTTGAGTCCGAGATGAGAAGGACTGCGCGTGGGTGATGCTGCTGGTCCCGTCCGCGGAGATGAGCTCGGGCGGGAGGGAAAAAAGTGTAATGCTAGCTGCCGCGTCATGGGCGTCGGCCGCAGCGCCAGTTACGTAGGGAGGATTGTGAGGGGGGAGGATGGAGAGGGTGGTGATGAGGAGGAGGAGGAGGAAGAAATGGGTAGGAGAGGGAGGGATGGGGAGGTGGGAGGGAGAATGGAGAGGGTGGTGATGATGAGGAGGAGGAGGAAGAAATGGGTGGAAGAGTGAGGGATGAGGAGGTGGGAGGAGAAATGGAGAGGGTGATGATGATGAGGAGAAGGAAGAAACAGGTAGAAGAGTGAGGAATGAGGAGGTGGGAGGAGAATGAGAGGGTGATGATGATGATGAGGAAGACACGGGTAGGAGAGTGAGGGATGAGGAGGTGGGAGGGAGAATAGAGAGGGTGATAATTAGGAGGAGGAGGAAGAAACGGGTAGAAGAGTGAGGGATGAGGAGGTGAGAGGGAGAATGGAGAGGGTGATGATGATGAGGAGGAGGAAGAAACGGGAAGAAGAGTGAGGGATTAGGAGGTAGGAGGGAGAATAGAGAGGGTGATAATGAGGAGGAGGAGGAAGAAACGGGTAGAAGAGTGAGGGATGAGGAGGTGGGAGGGAAAATAAAACTTGTGATGATGATGATGATGAGGAGGAGGAGGAAAGAAACGGGTAGAAGAGTGAGGGATGGGGATGGAAGGATAAGAGAAGCGGGGTGTTGTTCTGAGAGGCCGAGGACGGAGGTGCTTGTG